AATGAAAGGATGCATGTCTCCACTTCCTCACCCTCCACCCACTTCCTTCTCCCACCACCACCCCCAGTCGTCAGCTCCTTCCCTCATTTATTTTTGTTGTGTGAATTATTTTTAAACCATTTATCCTGTTTGTGCATAGGATTTTTAAGAAGAAACAGCACAGTGCAATGAGCAAATCTTTTCGGGGTGTGTGGGAGGCAAGGGAGGGAGGACATGGAGAAAAGTTCTTTAAACAAATAGCAAACTATTGAACATGTGTAAAATCCTGTATCATTTATGAAATATGTATAAAAAGCAATGTACCTTCTGGAACAATAAATACTTATTCAATTTTTGAAGGATAGCATCTCATTCTTTAAAACAAAACCAGAAAAACTACGTTTCCTTTGTTTATAGGTATGAAATTTTTTACTTCTAAAATTCATTTTTATAAAAATATTATCAAATTAAGCTCTCTTCCTTAAGCCTATATTTCAAAACTAGGCATTTCACTAATTATTGCTGAACCTAAGATGATCAGTATTTTCCTAATTTTCCAGAGCCACGAAGAGGTCGAGTGACCTCTACAACCATAAATAAAGTCAGCAGCAGCAGTCTCAATAAGCCTGAATCCTTATCTCCTGATGGACAGGAAAAATCTCCATGGTATCATATCACCTGGATTGCCCAGTGTAGGCTCCTGGACTCAAGAAGATTGCTCAAGGATGCACCAAAATTAAGTATTCATTATTTTCAGAGTTTGTATGAAATGTACAGTGGTAGCCAAACAGGAAAAATATCACACAGACAACCCTGACCCACATGTAAGGTGTAAGAAGGTAAGGTCTGACAGAGCCGGAGCATCACCATCTTGGACAAGCACTGCCAGTTTAAGTTCCCCTTGACTGAAAACTGCCTAAATCCAGCCCAAAAAAATCAGCCTAATGGCTGTCAGCATGACCATAAACCACAATTGACACCTCTGATCAAAAACATTCCAACCCTGAAATTAAAGCCCTCTCCGACTAGAGACATGCCAGCCCCGAAATAACCTCCCCTCTGAACAGAAACGTTCCACCCCTGCAATAAAAACTCTTCTCTACCCAGAAACACTCAGAGCCTGAGGTAAGCTCTTCCCCCCTAAACCCTTAAGTACCCTTAGTCAGTAAGAGAGAAGCTCCCGATTGAAATCAGCCAGAATCTCCCTCAGGTTTATTCTTCAAAATAAACCTGTCTTTGACTGTCGAGCCACTTTTTGTTTCTTCTTTCAGCTCTTACAAGGCTGAAAATATTAAGTCATTTTTTGCATTCAACAAATAGTATCTATATATTTCACACATTCTGTTAAGCTTTGCAGGGTTGTTTTTGTTTTGGTTAGTTTTTTTAAGGAAAATAAAAACATGATTCCTTGCCTTTAAGGAGCTTACAATTTGAAGTTTAAAGCAGGAGTATCCAATCTTCTGGCTTCCCTGGGCCATACTGGAAGAAAAAGAATTGTCTTGGGCCACACATAAAATACACTAACACTAATGATAGCTGATGAGCTAAAACAAAATGCAAAAAAAAAAAACTCAAATGTTTTAAGAAAGTTTACGAATTTGAAAAAAAAATAGAGAAAAGAAAAAGAAAAGAAGAAAAGGAAAAAGAATTTGTGTTGTGCTGCACACAGCCTGCAAACCATGGGTAGGACAAGCTTACTTTAAAGTATAGTGACCCTAACAAAAACTAAAAAATGAACAGAGGAGTTGGACAGTTCTCCAAAGAAGATACACAAATGCCCAATAAACACGAAAAGATGCTCAACATCACTAATAACTAAGGAAAGGTAAAACTATCACGAAATACCATTTCACACCCGTAAGGATGGCTATTATCAGAAAAAGCAGAAAATTAAATATGTTGGTGAGGAAGTAGGGAAATTGGAACCCTTGGCACTGCTGGCGGGAATGTAAAATGATGCATCTCCTGTGGAAAACAGTATGGTGGCTCCTCAGAAAGTGAAACAGCCATATGATCCAGCAATTCCACTTCTGGGTATATATCCAAAAGAATTGAAAGTTGGGACAAACAGACATGTATACACACATGTTCATAGCAGCAGCATTCACCATAGCCAAATGGTAGGAGCAACCTGATGTCTGCGAACAAATGGATGGATAAACAAAATATGGTGTGTGCACACAATTGAGGATTCAGCCATACAATAATGGAATTTGGTCACATGCCGTAAAAAGGATGAGCCTTGAAGACACATGCTGAATGAATCATGCTAGTCCCAAAAGGACAATAACTGTATGATTCCACTTGTATGAAGTATTTAGAGTAGTCAGATTCATAGAAATACCAAGTTAAATACTGGCTGCCACGGATGAGGGAGTTATTGTTTAATGCATACGGAGTTTCAGTTTCGGAAATGACAAGAGTTCTGGAGGTGGTTGGTGGCGATGGTTGCCCAACGGTGTGAATGCACCTAATGCCACTGAACTATATGTACACTTAAGTGGTTAAAATGATAGATTTTATGTATATTTTACCACAATAGAGGGAAAAAACATAGTGGATTAAAGGCACGTAATGACAGTGTTAAAGCTATTACCGCGCGTAAGTAATGCAATTTTGCTGAGAGAGCATAGGCTTTAGAGGTGGAAAAAGTAAAAGGGTTCTCAGAACATGGTCCCCAGAGCAGCAGCATGTCATCTCCTGCAGCTGTTAGAAATGCAAGTTCTCTGGTCCCTTTTGGATCAGAAACTAGGAGCGGAGCCAGAAATCTGTGTTCAACAAGCCCTCCTGGTGATTCTGATGAGAACCCTTGATCTAGTCTAACCATTGCTTTAAAGAGAAAGGAACTGAGGAACAGAGCTGGCGTCTATGTCACAACTCCTCAGTGCATCCTGTGGTCAAATACCAGACTGAGTGACTGGAGGACTGCTGAGCATGGTGACTGGTGAGTAGAAAAGATATAACCAGAGGTCTTGTTAATGCTAATGTGGTATTCTGCTTGTCAGGGTGCAGCAGTAAGCACGTGGTAGATGTTTTCAAAACAAATACAAATAGGTTGACTTTTAAAATCTATCTGGAAAGATTTCACAGAAAAATGGGACTTAGATTTTAGAGCTCAGTTTCACCACAACTCTTCAGAGTTTTGAGATTTATCACTGCCAACCTTTATTGCTCTCCCAAATAAGTCCTAACTCCTCGTCTCCCATGGGCTCTTATGATATTTCCTTGGGATAAATGTGTAGGTTATTTTTAATGAATCCTGCTGAATATAAGATTACCTACTTTGCCTGTAATCCCAGCACTCTGAGAGGCCACGGTGGGTGGATAGTTTGAATTCAGGAGTGTGAGACCAGCCTGGGCAACATGGCAAACCCCATCTCTACTAAAAATACAAAAATTAGCCAGGCGTGGTGGTGCACACCTGTAATCGCAGCTACTTAGGTGGCTGAGGCAAGAGAATTGCTTGAACCCCAAAGGCAGGGACTGCAGTGAGCTGAAATCACACCACTGCACTCCACCCTGGGTGACAGTGAGACCCTGTCTCAAAAAAA